GCACCACCCTCGAAAAGCCATCTATCTACAATACCGACCAATGCGCCCACACCCAGTGCAAAACCCTCATCAATACTCTCAAAGACCCCGCCGTGCGCTGCCCCCAGTGCAACCACCAGTACTGCCTGAAACACCGCCTCCGCGAGGAACACGAATGCGCCAAGATTACCCCGCTGGGCGCGCGCCAGAGCAATGCCGCTTCGCCAAACGATACAATAAAGTCCATGTTCGCGCGCGTGCGCACCTGGGGCCGCGATAAGCAGCAGGCCGCTGCGAAGGGGACCCTACTGCCGGCTTTGCCCAAGTTGAAGCCCAAGCCGAACAGTCCAGCTGCGCGCGCGGTTGCTGTTAACGGGCTGAAGCGATCGGCCAAGGGGGATGCTTCAGTTCCTGTGGATAAGAGGCTGTATTTGCATACTGTTGGTACGGCGAAGACGCAGGCTGCGGAGCCGCCGGCTGGGGATTTCTTTTTTGATTCGAGGTGGAAGGTTGGCCGTGTGCTTGATGATGCGGCGAAGAAGTTGCGTGTTCAGAATCTAAATAATCGGGTTGACGGGGAAGATTCGAGGCTGCGGATCTTCCATGTTGAGTCTGGGGATTTCCTCGAGTTTTCGGAGGCTATTGGTGCTGGTAAGGTAAAGCAAGGCGACACGATTGTGTTGCTTCGCGGCGCTGGGGCTGTTCTTGGGAGCGCATGATACATTTATTTGCATTTATTTGCTCTCTCTCTGTTTGATCTTTTATTGTTGCTTTTTGCTCTTCGAAGCATATACACAGCCTGATACACCTGGAAGCATGTTCTGCTTCAACAATGCATAAGTCGATTTGCTGTACACGTAGACTTGGAGTTCGAATGCATTTTCATTTTTTACATTCTACTTCAAAGTGTAGTCCTGTGGCATACATCACAGAATAATTGGTATCATACAAACAATAACTCGGGCCGTACCCGCAAATCGGAAACCTATATAAATCAAACGCTCATCTTCATTTTGATGATCTTGTGAGGCTTGTATCCAATGACCTCAAACTCATCCTCCTTCCAGCCATCAATGACCGCGCTACCCCGGTCGTCACGCTTAATGCGCAGCTCAGGGAACTCCGTTGGTTCCCGAACCAGCTGCTCATTAAGCGCATCGATGTGGTCAAGATAGACATGGGCATCACCCATAGTGTGAATGAGAGTTCCGGGATGAAGATCTGCAGCGTGTGCAAGTATATGGGTGAGAAGAGCATAGGACGCGATATTGAAGGGCACACCAAGACCCATATCACAAGAGCGCTGGTAGAGCACACAGGACAAGGTGCCTTTCTTCGATGGACGGCCAGTATTTTCATCGAGCTCCATGCCAGGCGGGAATGAGACGTAAAACTGGGCGAACATATGGCACGGGGGCAGGGCCATCTTTTTCAGATCAGCGGGGTTCCACGCGCTCATGATAATGCGGCGATCGAAAGGGTTGTGAATGAGCTTGTGCACAACATCTTTGAGCTGGTCGACACCCTGGCCGGTGTAATCTGTCTTGGCGTCGACATACTCGGCACCAAAGTGCCGCCACTGGAATCCATACACGGGTCCTAGGTCGCCTTCTTCCCGGTGGCCCAGACCGGATTTATCCAGGAACTCGCGGCTTCCATTTCCATCCCAAATCTTAATCCCGGCTTCGGAGAGTGGGAGCGAAGAGGTGCAGCCAGAGATGAACCAGAGTAGTTCAGCGAGTACGGCACGTAGAAAGACTCGCTTGGTGGTGAGGAGGGGCAAGAGGGGGATTGGCTCGCCGCCTTCTGGGCTCGGCTTCGAGAGAGAGAAGCGTAATTGCGGTGGTGCAAAAATTGATTGCGTGCCAGTGCCAGTGCGGTCGGGTCTATGCTCGCCTTCGGAGAGGATCGTGCGTATCAAGTTGAGGTATTGATGCTCTTCGTGCGATGGGTCGTGTGGCGACGAGGATACCACGGGGGCTGCTGCGACTTGGTCTTGGGTCATCGTATAGATTAGATTAATGAGAGACAGGCTATCAGGCTTTCTCTTGATATTTGACGGTAGAGAGACACTTAAAGTGTCAAGTGGACAATGGAGAGGGGGAGATCGGTGGATCGCGTTGACGCGACACGTGGTCACGTGCCGACCTCGCGTTTTATAGTGCTCCAATCTATTCAAGCGAATTATCCAATCAACTTTTACTTACATAGTTAGCTGTTAAAGGCACTAGTTAACATGCGTTGCACTACTTGGGTAACTGCACGATATTTATAAGAAATACTGATATTCTTCCCTAGAGTATCAACATTAATACCGACATATAAAACACTGAAATCCATATCAGATTTCAACCACTAACCATAGATGGATATTTTCAAATAATTTTATGCCATTGCGACAACAATAATAGTTCTGGACTAGGGATTCATGTCTTATTTTCAATAAATATTTGATGGGATCTAGTCTATGTTCAGTCAAAACTTAACACCGCTGGAACGGATACACACACTTTTATAAGGCATGAAGTGAATCTTTCGTCATTTATTCCTTCAAGACACTTCTCATTTGATCAAAATAAGTGATCATGCCGTCATGAATCTGCCAGCAAGTCCACTCCGACTCCCCGCAGAGCACCTACCGCCCACTCGGGGAACTTTGATTTATCGCCTCCATAGATATCGGAGAAGAACTTGCGAAGGAAAGCCGGATATTGGTCATCAATGATGGCCTGTCGGACTTTCCCCATCAGGTTCAACATATAATGGACATTATGGATGGTCAAACTGTAGAAGTATCAGAACCAAAACAAGATATTGTGGTCAGTCCACACTTACAGATGAGCGCCGACGGTCTCTTTGGCTGTGATGTGGTGCATGTATGCTCGTGTGAGCCCGAGACCACCTTGGTCAGTTGGACGACAGCAAATGCAGGTACAGCCCTCCTCAACTGGACCGAAGTCATCGGCGAACGATTTATGGCTTAATTTCAGGGTGCCAGAGGAGACGATGGCATCTCCGAAGCGCTGGTCGATGTTAATACGGTGATCGAGACGGAGCGTTTGTTGAGTCTTACCGCTGTCCGTGTCGGCCAAACGCAGTCAAACATATCCGCACCGAGAGCCACTGCTACAACAATATCCTCGGGATATCCCTAGCTTTCGTGATTAGCCAAGGCAGAATGACCAATTCACTAACACATACCACGCCCATGACGTATCTGGGTTTATGTTCTGGGAGAATTTCAGTGCACGTATGCACTCTTTGGTTGGTCAGCTTTTTGCTTTTTCTTGAGCGAAAGTAGAGGCACATACACTTTGCAGAACTCCTCCTTCGCCTCACCACCAGATAGACCTCCAATGGCGATTCCTGGAGTATCTCGCGCTACCATCTCTTCACAGCACTGTTTTCGCAATTCGAGATCCAGTCCACCCTGGATGATACAGAAGAGGTTCTGTCGCTCGGGGTATTTGTGCTCTTCAATGCACCGATCTAGCCATCGCACGGAGCGGTCCATAGCCTCCTTGATGCGAGCATGGTCTGGTGAAGTGGTTGCAATCACATCATCTAATTGCATAATAATATCAGATCCGATAGAATTTTGGAGGGAAATTGAGTGTTCGGGAGTCAGTAACCTGGCAACAAGTCAGCATTTCGGATGCTCAGCTACACGGTTTACAGCGAAGCGACCTACATTGGCGAGCCGTCGTGCGGGCTAAGGAACCGCACTCCTTCCTCTGTGACAGTGGCCAACTGAAGAAGCGACACCATCTGGAAACTGAGGGACAATATATCCGGTTAGTAACATACTATCAATGTGCGAGGGGAGGAAAGTACGTCTTACCCTCCACTATCGGTCAAGAGATTTCGATCCCAGCCTTGTAACTTATGCGCTCCGCCCACTGCATCTAGTACCGCCTGACCGGGCTTCAGACCTAAGTGATATGTATTATTCAAGCACAGCATGCATCCCGTCTCTCGCAGCTGGTCGTAGGTTAGGCCCTTTAGAGATGCCTGTGTCGCGACGGGCATGAAGATCGGCAGAGGCACTGAGCCATGGGGCAGGTGGAGGGTACTCGCGCGGGCCTTAGTTGTCTATTGTACCAAAACACGCATCAGATATAGGTTACAGTAGTTTCTAGGTGGCATGCCACAAGGACGTACCGAGCATTTGGCGTGACGATCAAATGTTAATGCGGAGGGCATCGGTTTGCGGGCAGGAGCGGTAGTAGTCGACATAGTTGCGATTGATATGGATAGAGTCGGATTTGATGTTCTACCGAGGCGCCTGGCAAGCAAACGGTGGCATAGCATGGGGCAATGGTGATCAAGTGTTTGCGATGCGATCAGTAACACTTTTATCTGATAAGCTGTTTGTCTGGTTTGCATCATGAGGCTCAGTTCTGCTTTTATACACGCGCTCTACGCACGTTATATGGATTGGATATCTTTGGACTCATTTGCATGAGAAGTTCTTTAATGCTCTATGATTCCAACGTTGGAGATATTTTTCGCCTTGGTTAAAACTCAATATTCCTAGTGAATCCTGTTGCTTTCTGACAAGACCAACCCCTAGTCTGCAAAGTCCTTATAAGAAGATCATTCAATACTTGAAATGTGAATAATAGCCTTGCTCGTCGCTATTAATGTTTCTTATGTTGGCTTATTTTGACGATCCTAGACGTCCCCGAGATCTCGATGTGGAGATCCGGGGAAACCCCAATTCAGGGGCAACAGGAGACGGTAATTAAATGCAACCTAAATGCCGCCTTAATATGTATGGACTGTCGTTTACAGTATACACTAAGAAACGCAGCTTCAAACACTAGATCTAGTCCCGAAATCGGATCTCCCAAATACCCAAATACCGGCGAGGCGTCGGAGGAATGGCGAGTCCCCCTAGTGCGGGGGACATAAACCCGGAGGAGCTAAATCACACAGGGGGAAAAAAGGAAGTGAAAAAAAGACTGGTCTTTTCTGATTTTCTTGTTCCTGACACAACTATTTTGCGTGCTTGATTAAATATGGCGACCGAAAAATACATGCCAGATGTTGAACAACCTTTAGAGGTATCTTTTCTCCTTCCCCCATGTTAGTTATAAAACCGACTGGTGTTGGTGTGCGAGCTTAAGACTGATAGTAACGCAGCTTAACAGCCCTGATGTTGTCAACGATGGTCTCAACGCACGCGAAAAAGCCTTGGTCTGGAAACAAGATCTACGCATCATTCCCTTATGCGCTGCAATTTACTTGCTTTGTTATCTCGATCGCTCTAACATCGGTGTGTTGCCGAACCGCAATGTCGGATAGACTTGGAGCTAAAATATCTAGGCAATGCCAAAATCTTGAATTCGGACACTCACAATGATCTTCTCTCGGAGACTAATATGACAGCGTATCAGTACACGTGAGTTGCAACCATTAATTAACCACAACAATTCAAAGCGCTGATGCACAAAAGAATTGCACTCATGGTATTCCTGATCGCATATGCATTGTTCGAAGTCCCATCAAACTACTTCCTGAAGAAGCTCCGCCCAAGCGTACGTTTAAACCAATACAAACACATCGTCGATTCCCATTTATTACAATTCCACTGACAAACACTAGCGCTGGATCGCCTTCCTCATGCTCTCTTGGGGAGCAACAACAATGGGTCTCGGCGGCGCCCATAACTACGCCCAAGTAACAGGGCTCCGATTCCTCCTCGGCGTTATGGAAGCTGGCCTCTTTCCCGGCTTCGTATACTACCTTACATTCTGGTACCGCAACTCCGAGCGATCGATCCGCGTAGCCCTGATTCTCGCCTCGGCAACACTAGCTGGTGCGTTTGGTGGTGCTATTGCCTTTGGCGTGGGCCATATGAATGGCGCCCATGGCCTTTCTGCTTGGAGGTGGCTGTTTATTATTGAAGGGGCCCCATCGTGCGCGTCTGCTGTTTTGGTCTGGTTCGTGTTGCCGGATTACCCGGAGACTGCTAGTTGGCTTACTGCTGAGGAGAAGGAGCTTGCTGCGCAGAGGTTGATTTTGGAAGGATCTAAGGGCTCTGCCCATGCTATGTCTTGGGAGGATGCTAAGGCTACGCTGACGGATTGGAGATTGTACGCTCATTATGCGGTACGTTTTCTATGCCTTTTTCTCCTGCCAATTTCTGGAAGACTAATATCACAACAGGTATACTTCGGCATCTCGACGCCATTCTCAAGTCTTTCTCTTTTTACGCCTGCCATCACCGCTGGTCTGGGATACTCTGATCTCCGTGCTCAGTTGATGACCGTGCCTCCGTACGCGGTGGCCTACGTCGTGACTGTAGCCGTGGCCTGGTCTGCGGACTACTTCAACAGGTAAACTGTCTTTTTGCTTGAAGAATAGCATATCGCTAACCTGACACCATTAATTTACAGCCGTGGTCTCCATTCAGCCATATTCTCTTTCGTTGGGGCAATGGGCTTCCTCGCCTCCGCAGTTCTCCCCGCCAGTGCATATCTAGTAAGTCGCTCAATCATCTCAGGCGCCCACCAAGCCAATGAGAGTCATCAACTAACCCAAAGCCTAGAGCCGCTACGGATGCCTCATAGTCGCGGCAAGCGGTGCCTTTGCCTGCATCCCACCTCTACTAGGTTGGCTATCCTCCAATATCAGCTCAACAGCCGGCGCAGGGCTCGCAATCGCACTCAATGTATCATTCGGTGCACCAGGTCAGATTGTCGGCGTCTGGATCTACAAAAGCGACGAAGCAAAGATCGGATATCCAACCGGGCATTGGACAAATGCAGCATTGCTTTTCTTTGTGGCAGCCGGCTGCATTCTATTGAGGCTCTACTACGGGTGGCGCAACCGCCGCGGAGACGGGGCAAGAGACGGAAAGAGTTTTGCGTATTAGATTGGTAGGTCTGGAGTGTTTTGGTGAAAGTTGGTAGGAATCAGTTCACGAGCTGAAGGGCGTACATGTCGTATATGAGGTTGGGAGTGCATGCATCTAAGTCATAAAATAGATAGACACCTGAAGTAACTAATTAATTTTAATGACAAATTATGGAGTCTCGATAATTTGTATGGAGTGCGGAGTATGGGCAGAAAATGGATAACTTCAACTCCACTATCTACATAATGCACGGAGTGAAGCGCAAGGTTTAGATCTGTATTGTGCATGTCAGCTGAGTCTCTAATGTCCCCTTGCCTAGATTTTCAAATTCGAATCATATTCTAGACCCGTGTAAACCCTATGTAAAATAGTCAATAATATCGCAGCCATTCAATCAATAAAAAATATTTGACGCCCATTTCAACCCTCCAGCTCTAGCAGCACCCGCCACCTCCACAACCTCCACCTCCAGCAATAGCAGCAGCATTTTGACGTGCACGACGCTTCTTTTTCTTTTTAGATACTTCGTAGTCCTTGTTATATGTGTACTGGCTGTAGCGTCACGGCCGTAGTATACGCGCCGTGGGGCGGAGAGTCATATGTATCTCTGCGCGATGAGCCGAAACACATGGTGATATTTGGTGGAAGGGATGAGATAGATAGCAGTTTGATCCTTTGGATTTCTCGGATATTTTAGAAAGTGCATGGTTTGAAGTAGATTGTAGCTGGGTTGGCTACGGTCATGGAATAGTTAATTATTTACGGAGTAGTGTTCAAAACAAATCTTTTGTCGCTGCCTGACGTGGAAAGATTTGGCGTCCTAGGTAGTTTATATCTCTTCAACTCGACCGATATAGCCACCGCCCGAGGAAAGCGGAAGGCGGAGTACAAACATAGGCGTCGACCATATCAAGCAGAGTCTTGGCAATCACTCTTTAGATAGTTTGTATAACGTGCAATCGTAGCTGGTTATATACCGAACATAATGGTAGCACTAATTACTGAGAATATTTCCTATATGTTTTCTAGTACCCATCCGAGGCCGGCAATGAGTTGGTCAAAATAGACAATTAGAGTTGTTAGTTATTAGAGTTCAGCGTTCCATGGTTCAGCCCAAAGTAACTGACCAACATCCAACGTCGAGTCTACAACGTACTTTTGTTGTAATATATGCTTCGTAACGTCAAGCGATCGAGATTAATAATCTGTTGTATAATACGACGTATTTGATTCATTTCAGTCAAAAGCCAACATCGGTCACTTGGAATGCTGCCCAACTCGGCCGCTGTGCATCGGAAATTAATGTTTGGCTAGACACATGGCCAACGCTGTGCTACCCGCGGATGTGTAAGCTCGGGCGGGAGGCCAATGCGGCAAGAACCCGCGATGATCAACAGCACCTCAAATGAGGGTAAACATGTACGACAACCTTTTCTACAAAGGGGCGAGTCTGTTCCAGCCGGCGGTGGTGTGTCATGGATCCATTAGTATATATCCGTCATTAGTTTTCTTAAAAAAGGGAAAGGAATAATTCACACATAAAAGTCCTGTCGATAGATAATCTGTAATCGTATAATGAGAAACAAAAGAGAACAATCTGATAGAAACCAAACCCTGGCCATTACGGTCCCAAGTCCAGTACCATCCGTATATGGTAGCAATAATAGATAAGCCCGGTCCAGTTCCGTGTCCGAACTTCCAAAACCCAACACAGCCCAACAAAAGACAGCGAGACACCAAAGAAACTCCCTCTGCCAGGCGCAGACACCCGACCTGAACCAAGGAAAGATAAAACAAAGCCAAACGTATCGAGTAATCAGGAGGAACGTAATCAAATCTTTCCTCGCTTTGCATCTGCGGTGGCACAAACACATATTCGTCCATAGCTTCAGGGCGAACGAGGCAACGGGGTGTAGCATCTAGTACAAATGCCACCTTTGACTTGCCGATAATGCCACAAGTATAATTGCTATCCCAACCGTGCAGCAGCGAGTGGCGATTGGAAATTGTCCCGGGTATGACATCAAACCCGCTTGAGCATGACAAGTCATATGTTCTCGAAGGGACAAGCAGCAGTCACTTGACACAATGCATGAGACCCGAGCCCCTCGCCTCTCATCAAGTGGTTGTAAGCATCTGGCCCAACTTCCTGTTTTGTCTCAAGGCAGATAACGCAGCAAGAGCAGAGACAAATCAAATGCGAAAGGCGATCTGTATGAACCCAAATCGGGGAGACAGAAACAATAATTGGTGCAGAAAACTGTATGTGGGATGTTTCTTCCAAGAAATAAATTTATCCACTCCCAAAAAACACGTATGTGGGGGGAGGGCCGCTAGAAAGAGCCAAAAGGGAGTCTGGTTCACGACGCATCACACGAGGCCTGGCGATATCCGGACACCCTATCATGTACCTAAGCTGTCGGCATCTCGGGTGTGGTGTGTCACAAGTGGTGCTGAGGTTTCACAAATGCGAAACAAGGTAGTGACCTGCATTTGGAAGTGGTCATCCGGGGCAGGGATGCTGCATGGTGCGTGTTTCTTTTTTTTTTCTTTTTGTCCATATTTTTGCTGCCAGGAATCATCCCATCAGAGCCCATGTCATGGGCTCTGCATTGTAGTGAGCCACGGTGGGCAAGGCTTGCTGAAACCCGGGAAGATGTGGTTGTCGACGAGGGATAGTGCATGCATCAGCATGACTGAGGAAAAGGGTGTCGACACGAGAAAGAAGCGGGAGGAGAGGAGTGCGGTGAAGGGGATACGTTTTTTTTCCCTGCAGTCAAAAACGCAAGTGAGAGAGCAGCGCGACAACAAATGTATGGGGTGTTGTATCGGATAGGACTTGTGGATCCCCGAGCCCCCGTCACAACAGGTGGAAAACAAACCAGAACAAGCACCCACCACTCCAAGAAACGAAGAGAAACAGAGTTCAGGATCAATGTCAGAATCAAGAACCCAAAAAAATTGATAAAAACACAAGAAGGGAAGAGAATGCCGCCCAAGACTAGTAGGAAATATTTGAGATAAAGGATATGATCAGAACCCGCCAGCTCCGCGACCATAGCCGGGCGACGTTGCCTGCGGGAATAGCTGACCCTGATAGACAGTAGCAGCCCGGGGCTGCTGGTTCAGGGTCTTGAGGGCGACCTCGGCGGCATCCTCTTTGGCATTGTTGATAAACTGACCGTCATACCAGTAACGAGCGGCGATATTCTGGCCCTGGACGGTGACGGTGCTGGACCAAGCAGTACGACCTCCTGCAATTCCGAGGAAAAAGTAATTAGCTTTCTGCTGTCAAGAGCTCGGAAACTAAAAGTCGGTGTACAAGTGAAGGGGGGCATTTTTCTCTGTCTTTTTCTGCAAGACTCCACTCCTTCCTGCAATGCCCACACACGAGACAGACAGCGGTGGATAGAGGCACGCTGTATGCGTGCGTATTGGACCGGTGAATAAGAGGGAAAATAAAATAATCAGGTTCTGCAGCATGGGAAGATGGTGGATGGAGACTGAGGGGGAGGAGGAGGAGGAGGATTGGAAATCGGGTAAGTACCTCGCCGATCGGAGACAATGTTGAAGACAGGAGGAGACTGCTTGTTGCGTGTGCAATGATCTGGAGATATTTAGTCGGTTATTCTTGTCATTTAGGAGGAACTTGGGGCTGCTGAGGCTTGACCTCGCATTCCAATGGCTTACCCTGGAGCTGGTCCTGCCAGCTGGGCCGGCTGCCAACACTATTCCCTTGGGGGCTGGTAGTATACGACATCCTTGCTTCGTAGAGAGATAGGATGGCGGGGGAGCTGCTAAGCTTTGCAATTGAGGTGGTATGAAGTGGGATACAAGGTGGGGAGGATATGAGTCCACGATAGTGTCTGGTAATGACCCAATTGAAGATGAAGATCAAAAGAGAAAAAAGAAGACAAACTTGAAGGGGAAGCCACAAAGATATAGAAGAAAGAACAGATTAGATGAGCTCAATTGGACCCGTTTGGAATCTCTAGAGATCTTCTTAAATGTATTTTTCAATGACCTTCAAAGACGACATGGGAGCGGGGAGTCATGTAAACAGTGGGCCATATCTTCAAGGCCAGGAAAAGAAGACCCCGTTATTTTCTTCTTTTTTTCCTTTTTTTTCCCTGTATTTTTTAATTTTATTTTAGTATTTCTTTTCTTTTTTTCCTATATTTTTTCAAAAATATTTTTATTTCCCCCCTGTGAACAAACAGGAGCCTAACCGTCAAACCTAACGGAGGGGGCTTATGCATGTCGATGTGGACATGACACAGCGTCAGCCAAATCCCCCCCTTCGTTATCCACCAGTCAAGGGGCGTAGACAAAGAGTATGCGGATCATTTTGAGGCTGCAACCTGGAACGGCCCGGCGCACGCCGACTAAGCAAAAACAGCCCTTGAAGAGACGCTAGACAGCACGTAAAGGCTAAGGAAGGAGGGGCAAACCGGATGTTCCCAAGTTAGTTCCCGCTCCATGACAGACAGGGAGATATTGGCTAATTTCTCCTATCCCAGAATAAGTGACACCTTTTTCGGAAGAACGTTGGACGCGGATTGGATGGAAAAGGTGAACAAGTCAGAGAACCCCACGTTGGGATTTTGGATTTGCATGCGGTTTTCATTTTGGGATTTTCATTCTTTGTTTCATTTTTTTTTCTTTTCTCTCTCGCCTCACTTAAGCACAAGTGCTTTAGGGCAAGAAAAAAGAAACCGAAAAACATTATAATCTCCCGAGATTAGTTTGCGCATGGGCTTGAACCGTATCGGCGGAACGGCGGGCTTCTGGAACAACCACGAGGGACTGCATGAGGGGTATAGAGCTGTGGGTGATCTCTGCCCAAAAAGCGGAGCCCATGGCCACAGCGTCAGTGTCATAGCTTTTATTGTTTTATTGTTTTTAAGGTCTTAGAGGACGCGGAGGATGCCCGAAATGTACGTTCAACCCCAAGTTGGGCCGCATTGGAGAGCGTTGCCAGCTCATCATGATGGATGAGATAATGATTATTTCGGAGAAGTCAACTTCCACATATTGTTAACTCAGAAGGAGTTGCTGGGCACCCCAAAAAACCATAGACCGGGCCGCCCTGCATGAGCAGTTGCTGTCGGGCCCAGGATCAGCATAGTAAAGTGAAAAAAAAAAGGACAAAGCGGTGGAGTGAGGCGAGATGGGCGGCATTGCCGTCGGAGAAACGTCACAGAGGCGGGAGGGCGTGTGTTGCAGAGATCTCAGACAAAGATACGGCCAAGAATTCCCTAGTTCATTTTTATGTTGTCGGCTAGTCCCGTCCGGTCGACAGTCTGATGTGCAGAGACCCCATAGAAGGAAATTCATCGACAGTTCGATAGTTATCGTTGAGACACAATTGGAATATCACAGTCGGAGCGAATGGGTGTACGCTTTGGCAGAGAAGTGTTGGGCATTCATGCAGAGTTGACAATATCCTCAACCGTGGTTCTCAGTAATGCGGCTAATATCGAGTTATGCACGACACACGTAGAGAAACAGCCGATGGTCGACAGGGGACTAGGCCAGCACATTATAGGGCGTCTAAAATATTGGAAAAAGAAAATGAATGAGGGGCTCGCCCGGCACCCAATCTTGATCTGTCGAAGTACATCTATAGATGTATGCTGCGCAGTAGACTACATAAGTACCACATACAAAGTTGGTACCTACAGTAGTAGATGTAGTAGACCAATATACTGGCATACTAAGAATACATACTGAGCCTAATATTGGCTATGTCTTGAATTTCCATAAGGCAGCAAGGCCAGGAGTGTGTTCTTTGGGCTGTTACTCGCGCTAAAAAACGAAAGATTCATCCAGAGCCAATCGATCATGAGCCCTAAACAATACTGACATTTCTTCATATGGTACGCTAGTCGATCCATTTTTGGCTCTGTTGCATGAGGAAAATCTTAGATGAGGTAGGGTGTACATGCATTTGGAGTCAGGAATCAGGTCAATAGGTCAAAGATCAATAGGTCAATAGAGCACGAGACGTTTAGCTCGGAGACTCGAACCATGGTTCATAGCGTAGACTAGCTCTAGCTCAAAAATAGAACCATGGTTCAGCTTCGAGCGGTCGGACTCTACGTGGTATGCAACGCCAGCATAGCAATAAACCCTTGGGAAGGATATGAGATGAAATTGTAAGCTATCATGCTCATTGCCAATTTATGCGATATGGAAATGCCCAAATCTGCAAGCCGGCTTGGTTCCCTGTCAGATCCGTATTAGAGGATCACCCGGAATTAGGCTGCTCGAGTCCCCGGGGTCCCGTTAAACCAAGATGACTCGTGTCAATGGACAACAATGAAGGATCAAAAAGCAAAAAAAAAAAGTTAGAAGACATGGCAGGAATCATCCAGAAGAAGAAGAAGCTAAACTAGAACAAGAACAACAAGACATTCATATCCCGCTTCATTCACATCATTAAGTCATTAAAGGCAGCGTCAATCCTTGTGCGCCATAAATACCCCGACTAATGCAGGACCAACTCATCGATCTAGTTCATCTCATGATAAAGCATCCTTGTCTGGTCTCAAAACCGAGCGCCCTTGTGTCGCTTAGGCGGATCCTCTCCGCTGGAGTACCTGGCCAATCAGGCGCCGAGGGCCCATGCGCTCCAGGCTTCTTACTATCGAGTGCTGAGCGGGCAGGATCCAAGAGGGGCGCCGCTCGTGATGCCAGCGACGACGAATGCAGTCGTCAACTAGCGCAACTATCCCTGTTGCGACAATCACACTGAAAAAAAAAAAGCGAACCGATTCATCAGCCTCATGCCTCATCATCACTTTGCGCAGGGGTATCATGGTCATTACGCATGGCGCATGCGTTGGTGCATTGTACACGAACCGCACACCCCTCATACGAATCGCAAAAAAAGAAAAGAGCGACCAAAAAAAGAGGGGAAATATACAACAAAACAAAAAAGCAAATAGGGTCAAGAACAGATCCAGGGCCAGAGCTAGCACCGGAGAACAAAACCAGCCAGGTAGTCGGAGGGTAGGGCAGGGATTCAGCATAACTTACTCGGCAACATCAGGCATCGTTTTGTAGACTTCAGGATCGCTGATCCACAATGAAGAAGGCGGCACCCAACCCCCCTTACTCTCCTCCTCAACAACCTCCAGCGGCGCCAGCGTATCCGGCACCAAATGAGCAATAGTCTTGGAAGTGCGCGTGTCAACCAAGAAATAAGACACTTCATGCAGATCACCCTCTTTGCGGACCTCCCTCCGCCACTGGTACTTCGTGGACCAATACTCGAACTCGTATTTTTTAGTCGAGCCAGGGCCTTTGCGGCGTAATTCGACATGCGCATAATTCGAGAATTCCAGCAAAATCGTCTCACCCAGTATCGGCAAAGCGGCCTGTCCTTCCTTTTCCAATTCATCCTCCTCAGCAGACCTCTTATCTACCTCTTCCCCCGCAGCATGCCCACCACAAGCCCCAAGCCCAGAATCCTCCCTCTTAAGCTCCCCATTCGGCGGACAATGACCACCGGCCGGACCAGGTCTTAACCCAGCAAAAACACTACTCCATGAGGTGCGCAGCGCAGGCCTTCGCTCATGAGCAGGCGTAACCTCCCGCCTTGCGGAATGGCACACCTCGCGCCCTGAGTCCCGGCAATACCGCCGGAATGAGAACTTCCGCGAGAAGAGGTCGTACATGCGGAGGTGGAAGAGGATGACATCGCGATGAGAGCCGTCGCGGAGGTGGACGGGCGTGTCGACGCGCAGGTTCATATTGCCGTCGATGGTTGCATCGTCGTGGCGGATGAGCAGTCGCCGCGAGGAGGGGAAGAGAGGTGCGAAGGATGAAGGTGTTGATGGAATTGCATCTAGTGGGTAGAATTCTTGCCGCTCATTTACCCAGTAGCGGTCTTCTTGGGGGCTGGTGGCCCCGATTGGTTGGGGCTCTGGGTCGAGCTCAGCTGTGGAGTATGTTGTTGAGGCGTAGGTTGAGGTTGAGGCGCGGGGATGTGGCTCGCGGCACTCGTACTTGACTTCAGCTTCGGATTCGGATCTGTAGGTGTCTTTTTGGCTGGCTGGGTTGGTGGGCCAGTGGCCCTTGTGTGGCTTGGGGGCTATTTGGTCACTGTGGATTGTTGCTGCCGTGCTTTTTGAGCATGAGCTGTCTGTTGAGCTGTAGCTGCCGGCTTGGCAGGATTTATAGGAGCCCATGGTGGGTAATGTTGGTTTGGGTTATAGGTGTATATATGTATGTGTTCCACAGATAGTGAAGCAGGCGAAAGGAGGGTCGAGGAAGTGGATATAAGCCAGGAGTAGTATCAAAATTAGCCGGAAGTAAGCCGTGGATGGTGTGGTTGGCCAAATAAAGTATATCAGAGCAAAAGCGATCACGGCGTTTGGACCTGTAGATAGTCCGGTTGATTCCGCAAGTCAAGGAGGGGTCAGATTCTCATAACATGGGACCGAGGAACTGTGACAAGGGACATATAGTGGTAATCTCCGTTAATTCAGGGATAATACAAAAGCGAGAAATATAATCATATGATCGAGAGCAAAAAAGAGAGCAAAAGGCAGGGGTGAGATGTTTCCTGTTTGAGAAGACAAAATATAAGGAATAAATATTGGAATTGGGGAGAACGTGAAAGAGAGGGAAAAAGCAAATAGAGAAAGGAGATTAAATCGAAATTGAAAACCACAGAGAGAATGTGGAAAACTGGACTGTCACAATGTGGGAAGTATTTAGAATGGGGAAATGGGAGAATGTCCAACTCGTCATCTTTGGGTACCCGACTCTGTTCTACACACGCAATTTATTAAAAGCCACACCGCACGTAATTCTCACAGTACAAATAGAAAAGAAAAATAAAAGAGGGAGACGGGAACCAACTCAGCCACACATCCTGGGCTACGAGTGAGTCTACCTATAAGGGGTGATAGAACTCCTCTCTAGCGCACTATGCGCTGTGTTATGGTCCCTGTGTCTCATCTTCATTCGTGGCTTCGCCCTTCCTTTTGCTTTTTGTTTCCCGATAGAGAACCAGTGAGATCGCGGGGGCCTGCATCGGAGAGGCCTGGACACGAGATTCCCTGTACTCCGTACTCCGTACCTAGGGAGACGAGGTACTTGGATGGTTTCTTTTTGTGTCAGGGCTCGGGCCCTCTAGGGTCCAAGCACTTAATTCTTGTACGCTATACATCATACAACATACAAAGTAGGGAGCACACAACTTCTAGTTAGGAGAGATCCCTTTATATATGTACATATTTACATATTTCAGACGTGAGAAGGGAAACCGTGGGCCCCGCGGTCCGTTCCGATCCATTGTGTGGTGGAGACAGTAATATAGCCGACTGTATAACTACCTGCTTTGTACAACATGTTCCTGGATATTACCTATTGTACGTAAGATTATATATAATAGAATGCCATGCCATGTTAAAGAAGAATCCGACCTGTTCCTGGACAGCGCTGGATCAACTACAGAGTTCATGGGAACATATGTCCGATCGTACGATCTATCTAATTTCCTTCACGGCCATGTCTTGGACCCTGGCATGACGACATAGGATCGGCCAGTTTTAGCGCACAGACTTAGACCTATCGACATCGCGAGAACGAAGGGGGTTCTATGTCCCACTCAAATTTCCACTCCGATCCGATTGAACATACACCAACACGATGAATTCATAGTCCCCATTAACATAGTCGCACCGACAATTGATCAACACTGCATCAAATGCTACGAGAAGATATCCTTTGGCCTGAATTGCGACCGAAAAGTTCATGTCCAATATATATGACCACCCGTAGCCGAGAGACCGCGTGCGGGTTCCTGCCGAGATAGTTACAATATCCGTGGACGTTACCCTGGATGGAGACAAAAACATATGTCCAATCTGGAAGACAGAAGAGAAAGAAACAAGAATTCGCTCCAGACTACACCTGCGCATAGAGAGGCCGAGGAAGCTCGTCTCCGGGCTTGATCAAGGACTCCGAATGGCAAGCTGGGTGGGAAACGATCCCGGCACGGCTTCCTGGGACCGGGGGTCGGAAGCCCACATAGGCTTCTCGTCGGTTTTCTACTGTGACGGACCATGTGTGCAATCCATAGTAGGATGCGATGGAGTGGACCAACCAGCGACTGAGAAGCGTCAGTGACCGGCCAATTTCGCTATCATGGTGGGAGAAAAGGCTTAGAACTTACCCGAATCCAGCGGCACGATCATCAGACAGAGTCTCAAGTACCATCTTCTCACCATCCCGCTCGCTGTGGCAGCTGATCTCCTCTCGAAGCAGGCGGAGTCTCTCCTTTCGTTCGGGCGAGTCGTGCATCTGCCCATTACGACCAACAAAGACGATCTCATCTTCCGAGTCGTCACTAGCCGAGTTATTGGGAGCATCCTGCAACCCCTCTTTCTCAAGCAGAAGTTCCCTCTCATTCCACTTCTGGATAAACGTACGGACCTCATCTTCCAGACCTCGGAGCATGCCATGCGCAGCACGCGCATGCTTCAGCTTTAACCTCAGTTCCTTCGGAATGTGACGCTTCTCGTTAGCTTTCTCCGCGGCCTTCACGGCCGCCTGGTGATCCGCCACATGGGAATAGTGAACGTCCCACAGGGGCGCAAGATAATAAGGCATCGGGTCATGCCGAGGATAGGTAGGCTGGACATCCCAGTCCTTTGAAGATGGCGGTTCTGCCCAGGGGTTGTGCAACAGACGATCTTGGTGCCTGGTCAGCATTGCCTGCCAAACCTGCGCCAAAGCCAAAAAGGTACAAGTCGGCATCCACAGCAACCTATCTAGTGCATATACAACGTACCGTTTTCCCAGCGCTGTCTCCGACGGCTGCCGTCTTTGCCCTTGAGCAGGGCTTCCCGGGTCTTGAGGCCATCCCGACGGAGAGGCTCCCGACGCCGGAAGCTGACTGTCGGGGGGCGGGACTCGACCTTGACTCGTTGGGTTGGGGTCGCTTCGTCGTCGAGAGGGATCGACAGCGAAACGGTGGCTCCGCGCAGACCCGAGCGCGTCGGCGTCGGTGTAGACGGGGTCCTCGCTGCAGGGGCTGAGTCCGATAGGGTCATGTCCTGCAGGGACGCTGCTGCATGTTGCTCTGTCCATGCAGAAATGGCTAGGGCTTGTTGCGGCGATAGATGCCCTGGCGAACCTTCTGGGCGCAGGCGTGGATGGATAGCCATGATGTAAGCAACGTGATCTAAAGGCAACAGTTCTAGGGGGGAAGAGGGATAAGGATAGAAATGGGCAAGATAAGGACCTGGGAGAGATGATACGCAAGTTTGTCTGCACGGGACAACTTGCTGCACGCTGATTGGGTGGGAGTGGGTATTTGTCAGCCCTAGCCCTGGTTTCCTATTTGGGAAGAAGAATTGGGAACTGAGAAATTGCCCTTGGGGCCAGAAGGTGGAGCAGATATCGAGGCTGTATACAAGCGACAACTCCGTAGACAATCATTTATATTAATCTTCATCGTATATGAGCCTTATCTCCGCAAGGCTGTGAGTCATGGCGCAGTCATAGTGGAGTTTTCATTCACATTCTCCACTTTCAATCCCCAGACCTCGCCGAGTCATGCCTATGCCTTGTGGTGCTTTGCTTGACGGTTGGATTTGAGTGTCTTGGATAAGACTTTGACTCAAATAAGATTTGGTATATTCAGTATGTGCAGAGATTTAAACTGATGAACCGGATATACCGGATGTCCGTTTTAAGAATAATATGATACAGAGCCTCGGTGTTTTAGCGCGCGGGGTCCAAAAATGGCTTGGCGCAGGGCGCGTGCCCAATACCTTGCACTTCTCAGACATCCCAGAGCTTTTAAAAGAAACCTGAGACCCTCTTGTTCTGCTTATTTTTATCCTCATTTTTCATATCCATCATGAAGTTCCTCACTCTTGCGCTAAGCGCAACGGCAGCTGCCATGGTCATAGTCAACCCTGAGCAACAACCTCTAGCGCCGTCAATTGTTCAAAACCCTCAGTCCAAGTCTCTAATCGAACTGGCCCCATACCGGACCCGATGGGTAACCGAAGAAGAAAAATGGTCGCTCAAACTGGTAAGCCAAGCTCTGACTCGAATTCGATCATGTCATAGTACTAACGCCTCATTAGGACGGAGTCAACTTCATCGATGTCACTGAGGAATACCAGTCAGGCTCCTACGGAACCCTCCACACCACACGGGTCGTCCACTACCCAGGGGTCATGGAGCACTCACACGAGATTCTGCCTTTGACTGAAACCCTCGACAAGAGTAACATGAGAAGCAACCTGGAACACTTCACATCCTTCCACACGCGCTACTACAAGTCGCAAACGGGAATTGAGTCGGCGACCTGGTTATTCGACCGAGTGACTGCCGCCGTGCTCGAGTCTGGTGCCAGCGACCACGGCGCAACCGTCGAGCGCTTCGCCCATCCCTGGGGTCAGTTCAGTATTATCGCCCGCATTCCCGGCCAGACGGATAACACCATCGTCCTCGGTTCCCATCAGGATAGCATCAACCTGTTCCTGCCTTCGATCCTGGCTGCTCCAGGCGCGGACGATGACGGAAGTGGAACAGTTACTATCCTCGAAGCTCTTCGCGCCCTGCTGCGGTCGGAGACTATCGCCCACGGAAAGGCCCGCAACACCATCGAGTTCCACTGGTACTCCGCCGAGGAAGGTGGTCTGCTCGGGTCGCAGGCTGTATATGCTAATTATAAGAAGAACCAGCGGAACGTCAAGGCTATGCTCCAGCAGGACATGACTGGGTATGTTCAGGGTACTTTGGACGCTGGCGAGAAGGAATCTGTGGGTGTTATCATCGACTACGTCGATCAGGGCCTTACTGCGTTCATTAAGGAGGTTATAACTACCTACTGCGATGTGCCTTATGTCGAGACAAAGTGTGGCTATGCATGCTCTGATCATGCTTCTGCTAGTCGGTACGGATACCCCTCGGCATTTGTGATCGAGTCTCAGTTCGAGAACTCTGATAAGAGGATTCACACTACCGATGACAAGATTGAGTATTTGAGCTTCGATCATATGCTGCAGCATGCGAAGATGAGCTTGGCTTTTGCTTACGAGCTGGCTTTTGCTCCCTTCTGATTTGTTTTTCTGGTTTATACGATGGTTTGGCGTTTCATGTGATATACCTCCAAGCTGGCTTCCCTCGTTAAGAGTACATTGAGGTTCAACCCGATGCTGTTTCTATTTTTTTTTCGGTCTTGGGGGGCTTATACCCTACAAACCCTCAATTGAATGATTATGACTTGTTGAATTTTCTACCCTGGTAATCTAGAATCATTATTTTTTTATCTCAGTAACTCAATTACAAGATGGTCATAACAGCTCATGCTAGAATCCAACCCGAACACTCAGGTTCTGTGATCAGGGTTGGATCGTAGTCGAAATACACGGCACCCACCAGAGGTAGTACAGCTTAGCTTCTCTTTTTCTTTATGGAGTTTCTTCTTCTTTTTCTCTTCTTTCCTTGGGTCTATCCTCACAAAGAAATAGCAATTCCTCATCAATTGCGAGAATGTCATAGTGGGTACGGCTCTTCATCCGACATTTCTCCACCTCCGGGCGATGCACCCGTGTTCCCCTCATGAGGGCAGAGCAACACCGGGAACTTTCTCCTCATCAGGATAAAGGACGCAGGATCTTCGCCATATCCCGGGAATGCGTCCGAGCTACACCGTAGTTACTACAATGAGTGTGTATATTAGTTAGTCACCTCGCTGAATATGTCCCAATTCTATCTTTACGTATCAAGGAAGTATAGCAATAGTGAGTTATTCCTTGTAGATTGCAGAAAAAGACATTCAGAGTCGCTAATACTAGAATTCACCATGGAAAGTGTCCACCAACATCGTTCCTCTTACCGTCATTAAAGGTGCCGGCGACGAGTTCATCCCCCTTCCTCAGGGTGAGAACGCAACTACTGCCGACTTCCACTCTATCCGCACCAAGACTGAATCCCCTGCACACATCACTTCGGGATTCTATAAGATCGAGGCTGGACCTGAGAGACCCGCAAGCTACACTTTTGAGGAGACTAAGTATGTCCTCAATGGTCAGATCGATGTTTTGGTATGTCCCATTTTATATGTATCGAAAGTTGGTTCTTCGATCTCCTTTATTTATTAACAATTACCGTTTCAAATAGGACGAGGCCACCGGGATCACCCACCACCTAGTCCCGGGAGACTTTGCTTTTTTCCATGTTGGATCTAAAGTCAAGGTTTGTCATGACTTTCTCACACTTGTACACGAGATATTAGCTGAAATAGTTCTAATTTTTCCCCTAGTTCTCAACCAAATCTCGAGGGTTTGCCTTCTACGCCGTTACTCGACCCATTCGATCCCCACACCCTAACCTTGAAGGTCGGGAGGAAGGCAAGGCTAGGTTGTGAGTCAATCTATGAAAATATACTCAAGACTTCACTAGATTATATCCCGAAGCCTCATGCGGTAGATTTGAAGTGGGCATGGTATAGTGAGAGTAGTACTAAATTAAAATGAGAAGAAAGTATTATCCATACGATTTTGTGCCTTGTAGATCTACTATAGGGCACCGATGTTTCGTCGCACGTGATGCTCTTCGTGTCCAAAAAAAAATAAACTCAACGTTTTCATGCTCTTCGTTTCCAATTGTCATTTCTACATCCGGTTGAGCCAAATCTCCCCCCTCGGGATCAATCATCCCGAACCCTCCAAAATATCCCTTGAACCGCCCACCATGACCTCTTCAACCCCATACGCCAAAGAGCTTCAGCTCGCCAGCCTAGCCGTACAACGAGCAGCCATCCTAACAAAAGAGCTCCTCTCCGCCGTCGACAAAGGCGCCCTTGACAAGACTGACTCCTCACCCGTAACAATTGCGGATTTCGCCGCCCAAGCCTCAATAATTGCAGCCATCCACAATGTCTTCCCAGACGACGACATCGTCGGCGAAGAAGACGCCACAGCCCTTCGTACAAACCCAGCTCTTCTCGCGAGGACCTGGGACTTAGCAACCGGCATTCACCTCGATGATCCAGAAAGCGAAGCCCTGCTCCACACCCCGTGTACCACCTCCGAACTCCTCGACCTAATCGACCTGGGCGCAAAAGGCGCCTGCACTTCTACCAGCAGGACCTGGACTCTAGATCCCGTAGATGGAACGGCAACCTTCATCCGCGGTGAGCAGTACGCAGTCTGCCTCTCGCTAGTCGAAAACGGAGTCCAGAAAGTCGGCGTCCTCGGCTGCCCCAACCTCCTTGAATCAGGACCCGTCGCCGAACACCGCGTTGACCGCGACGGTCTCGGCCAGATGATCTCAGCCGTTGCCGGGCAGGGCGCTACCATTAGACCTATGGGTCGGGGCGCTTTGCTGCCGGCGCGCCCGCTTGAAAAAGTCCCGCAGGTTGGAGCTTCCGGCGTGCGGTTCATTGATACTCGTGCGGCGAAGACGCAGGATCTCGAGGCTCATGCTCGTGTGGCGGCAGATCTTGGCTGCCCGTGGCCAAACTCGGTTGATTTGTGGTCGGCGCAAATGCGTTATGTCGCTATTGCCGTGCAGGGAGGGTGCAATGCTTTCGTTAAGGTGCCGCTGAGTCCGGATTATCGCTCGAAAATCTGGGATCATGCGGGTGGCATGCTTATTGTGCAGGAATTGGGCTGTCTTGTTACGGACCTTGAGGGAAAACCGGTTGATTGTTCGCTGGGTCGTACTCTGGCTGGGTGTCATGGTATGGTTGTTGGGCCGGCTTCGGTTCATGGGAGGATTTTGGAGGCTGTGAGGGATGCGCGGGGATTATGAATTTTCTCCTTTTATACATGGTGCAGTCCCTTTTTTACATTTTGTCTTTTGCATATTGGTTTTGATACCCTAGATAACCACATCATTGGCATCGTTACTATAATAGTACGTACTATGTACATCGTGTGTTTAATGTAGACTCTTATTTCTGCATGAGGCGTGAGCACTAGCCTCTTTCCCCGCGTTTCCTAGATTCTCGAAGTGAAAATCCTGGCATATCTACATGTATTCCTACATTCAGTAGAAACGGTGTACTTAGTATGTTTCAGACAGACTATTTCCATTATTATGTTACTTTCAGACTCAAATTGTCTTCCGGCGCCAAACTAGGCTCAATTGCGGGTCTCATTTTCCTTGATTTCCGTCTTCCAAGGTCCTACGCTCAGCATGTCTCGAGCGTTTTTGAGTTCTTGCCCACTGCTACCTTGTGGGTTTCCATATACATCGATTTTAGGTTGATCTTTGTATCGAATAGGACTGTGCACGATGATCTACGCTTGGCAGAAGTTGCGCCAGGTTATAGTTCGTTCTCACTGGATTAGACTTGCCATGGCGTTGAGTCCTTGTTTCACGAGAAACACAAGTATTTCTAGTTAAACTGAAAGATCCGAATAAAATGTGGCTAGATTTATCATGGTCCGTTCATCTTTCCAGGGTATCAAGTGCAAATGTAGTTGGAAGTAACCCTAAAAAAGATAAAAGCGTTGATGTCATGACCGCGGAATTGACCTCACCTGCCATTATTTCCAGTTCCCTGTTCTTCCTGAAATGGTCTGATTCCACTGGATAGTGGTCTGATGACCTTATGCGGGGAATCCCTGGTTAATCCTTGATTATAAGATCCCCTCTTCTAGACTTCTAGACTTTCCCTTTTTTTTATTATACTCAGCTTCGTCAGCTTGGGTAATAAATCCATAATGGCATCATTCAACCCCTTCGCTAGACGCGAAACTCACAGCGCCAATTCGCTGAATACATACCGCGTCCTTGTACCCCTCACTTGGGCCCTGGCTGTGGTGGTCGGCATCTACCATTCCGTCCACTCGCCCGACGATACCAAGAAGGGCAAGAAGCTATGGAAGCAGGCTAATAAGCATAATACTCCATTCAGCCAGAACACTACAGTGACTGGCGCTTTTTGGTTAGTTCAGTCATGTCTATATTGGAAATCATTATGCTTTGCGATATCCAGAAACTAACCCCCGCAGGATCTTCCTCCTCCTGTCTCAGCTCAGCTATGTCTGGCACCTATTTTCCAATAACAGTGTCCTGCTCACGGCAGCTGCTAACGTAGCCACCCACTTCATTCTAAACAACCTCTTCCTCGCCGCTTGGATCCTCCTCTGGACCCGCAACCACTTCTGGGGCGCGGAGATCATCCTCATCGCCCACTTAATCAACCAGGCAGTCACCTACTGGCGCCACCGCGGCCTGCCGGCATTCGTGCACCTGCCCGCCGTTGCCGGTCCCTATGCCTGGACATTGACGGCGCTGTTCTGGAACGGCGCGGTCGCTGTCCACAGCCATAACCTACCTGGCCGTATTGTTGCTAATATCTTTATCTGGGTTATTCTCGCGATTGGGCTTTTCGATATCGTCGTCCGGGAGGATTATATCCTTGGCTATTGTCTGAGTTGGTTGACGCTGTGTAAGTTCTGCCCTTTTTATCACCTTTTCGAGTGCTTTCCTGATATACATAACTCTAGCACTCGCCCTCCGGCAAATTGCTATCAAGATTATTGCCCTGCAGTGGATTTTTGCCTTTACTGTATTTGGCGTTTTCTTGGCCGTCTCGCTTTACATCTCTACGACCAAGTACACTGGCCGCGACAGCCTCTTCCGTCGCGTTGCCCACCCCGAGTCGGCGGACCGAGAGAGAGAGCCGCTACTCAACGAAGGCGTGTGAGCGTGTCGTCATGCCATTATGAAGGACCCACTGCCATGATAAGCCTAACCTTACCAGCCGGTCGTTGGGGCATGCATACTTTTAAGATTGGACTGGGCAAAGACCCAAGAACGAGAACGAGAATGAAAGTATGGAGTTTGGGATCTGCGAGGCCAGTCTTGTTTTGGCCGAATTATGCACTCTTTTGTGATACCCCCTGGAATAATGCAGTCTTTGTTCAAATGGCGCATTAATGTGAAAAGCATCCATTGGGGATATTGAAGACACGATGTTGGATTTTTGACAATTTGATACCAATGGAAAGGAATAAAATGGAACATCGTAAAATCCCTAATTATGTACTGTTCTATTTTAATAATTGTTTTGATTATTGTTTCCCAAGAGTTTCCCCCGTGCTGATTTGGAGGCACTAACATCCAAGCCCAGCGTTGCCCCGACAACCACATGCACCTCCACCTTGTTGATGCAAAGCGACGGATATGAACGGGCTGGACTTGATTGCCCAGTCGATCCTCTTTCTTTATTGTCTCTTTTTTCTCCTCCTCATATTGCTTGTGTGTCGAGCTTTGATATTGATATTGTACTTATATTCCTCCATCCGTCAGACCTCAACTATTCATCTGTCAAATCAGACAGATCCACGCCCACTGTCTTATCTTTGAGAGACCGGGACTGATTCTCATCGTTGTCTCGTCAATTAGTCGATACACACCTCAGGTGTCATGCTATGAGGCAGTGAGTTGAAAGAAAGACACCACATTCCACGTTCTATCATGGACCATCCGCCATCCAATTACGGTGACGCGCCGCCCGCATACCTCAACCACGACACGGGTTCCTATCTGTCTGACCCTGAGTCTCCGACCAATGCCTCGCGTCTCAATGGAGGAACAATGCGCTTGTTGCCCAGCGGTGACGGCGCCGATGATTTAGCCAGTAGTCATAGGGCTCCTTCGCCTTCGCATTATGACCCAGATTATGATCACACTCCGTACGTACTACCAACTCCCTCGCAACCCTGTCCGTTTTCACATTCCAGTGGTTTCCTTCGCGACGGAACCACGCTCATCACCAAATCCAACTCCTTCATTCGCGTGATGGACAGGCTGGAAGAGAAAGCTTGCGCCTTGGGCAGTTGCCCGTCAATGGCATTGCTACTGGACTCGAGCCAACTCATTCCATGCTGCTTGGTTGATCATCCTCCCTGTAAACATTGTACACTTGACCCTCTAGTATATTGTTTATCGTTTCATCCCCAACTCCACCTCCACATTGGCCCTCTTCCTGCCAGCTTCGAGGCGAAATGGAACGTCTTCCAAGACCAAGATCTAACATTAGGGGGCGTAATTCTAGGACCGGACAAGATCGAAGCTATGATCATTATTACGAGGTGCCCAGCGTTTCTTCCCCTTCGCGTCCACCATCTAGCTTGGCTAGTGGACCCAGTATCCCGCCTCCCACAGCAAGCCTCGCAGACACTTCCGTCTACCCATCTATTCCCCCACGCACAGGATCACCAATTCGCCCATGGAGCCCATCACACATCCGACCACCGTCCGTGTCAAGTGTTGGATATGAACGGGCCGATATAAACGGTAGCCCAAGGCCCGGTACACCCAGCTCAAGATACGGGGGTAGTCCCCGCCGACCATTGCCTCCTGCGCCTTTGTTCTCGGGACCAAAATCAACCGTGGATACCAGCATCGATATTGGTGATGCCAATGGCGAAGATCCATTCGGTGGTGATGGCCGCACCATTCACCACACCTCGCGCGGTAGCGTCCGATCATTCATGAGCGAATCGACAATGTTGGGAGACGAGAAAGATGCCATGTCAAAAGTTGACCTCGATGATGATGACGACGATGAATCGCACGTTCTGGATCCCAATCTCCACTATGGCCCAGCACCCGACAAGCAGGGCCGTCGTGGTGTCCGATCCAAGCAGGTCGCCAAAAAGGAAGTTCAGCTGGTCAACGGCGAGCTTATTTTGGAGTGCAAAATTCCCACCATCCTCCACAGCTTCCTGCCTCGCCGCGACGAGCGCGAGTTTACCCACATGCGGTATACCGCTGTCACGTCCGATCCGGACGATTACGGCGAACGGGGATATAAGCTTCGCCAGCAGATTGGTAGCACGACTCGCGAGACAGAGCTGTTTATTTGCATCACCATGTACAACGAAGATGAGATTGGCTTCACCCGTACCATGCACGGTGTTATGCGGAATATCAGCCACTTCTGCTCTCGCACTAAGTCGCGTACTTGGGGCCGTGATGGATGGAAGAAAATCGTCGTTTGCATTGTCGCTGATGGACGTAAGAAGGTCCACCCGCGTACGCTCAATGCATTGGCCGCCCTTGGTGTCTACCAGGAGGGTATTGCGAAGAATATTGTCAACCAAAAGGAAGTTCAGGCACACGTGTACGAGTACACCACCCAGGTCTCGCTTGACGATGATCTCAAGTTCAAGGGTGCTGAGAAGGGAATTGTGCCGTGTCAGGTTATCTTCTGTTTGAAGGAACACAACAAGAAGAAGCTCAACTCCCACCGCTGGTTCTTCAATGCTTTCGGTCGTGCCCTTCAGCCCAACATTTGTATTTTGCTCGACGTTGGAACTAGACCAGAGCCAATGGCTCTCTACCATTTGTGGAAGGCATTCGACCAGGACTCCAATGTTGCCGGTGCTGCTGGTGAGATCAAGGCTGCTAAGGGTAAGAACATGCTCGGTCTGCTCAACCCTCTCGTGGCAAGTCAGAACTTCGAATACAAGATGTCCAACATTCTCGACAAGCCGCTTGAATCGGTCTTCGGTTACATTACTGTGTTGCCTGGTGCGCTTAGTGCTTATCGATTCTTTGCCCTGCAAAACGACGCAGATGGCCATGGTCCCCTCAACCAATATTTCAAGGGTGAAACTCTCCACGGTCAAGATGCAGATGTTTTCACTGCCAATATGTACCTGGCTGAAGATCGTATTCTTTGCTGGGAGTTGGTTGCCAAGCGGGAAGAGAGATGGGTGTTGAAGTTTGTTAAGAGCGCTGTTGGAGAAACGGATGTGCCGGACTCGGTTCCTGAATTCATCTCCCAGCGCCGAAGATGGCTGAACGGTGCCTTCTTCGCCGCTGTGTACTCGATTTTCAATGCCAAGCAGATCTGGAAGACGGATCATACTCTTTCCCGGAAGATCTTGCTTCACATCGAGTTCTTTTATCAATTCCTTAATCTGCTGTTTACTTACTTTGGTCTGGTGGGTTTATCTTCTCTATGCTTTTGGGGGCGCCCACTGACTTTCTCTAGGCCAATTTCTACCTCGCTTTCTACTTCATTGCTGGCTCTTTGACTGATGAGAAGCTTGATCCGTTCGGTCACCACATGGGCAAATACATTTTCATTGTTTTGCGCTATGCTTGTATCCTGGTTATGTGTTTGCAGTTCATCATCTCGTTGGGTAATCGACCGCAAGGGTGAGTCTGAAATACTTCATCATACATGGCAACGCGACTGACATCTCTTTTCAGTGCCAAAAATCTCTATCTCTCTGGTATCATTGTCTACGCCATTATCATGTTCTACACTGTCTTCTGTGCCCTCTACTTGGTGGTCAAAGAGTTACTCGCCCGGGCTGGCATCGGAGGCGATGATATGGAGGTCGGGGACGGCCTAATGATGAACATCGTAATTTCCATGTTGTCAACTGTCGGCCTCTACTTCTACACCTCGTTCCTCTATCTGGACCCGTGGCACATGTTTACCTCTTCGATTCAATACTTCCTCCTCATGCCAAGCTACATCTGCATCCTCCAAGTCTACGCCTTCTGCAACACCCACGACGTAACCTGGGGAACGAAAGGTGACAACGTGATCAACACTGACCTCGGCGCAGCAAAGACCATCAATGGCTCAACTGTCGTCATCGAAATGCCCTCCGAACAACTCGATATTGACTCCGGCTACGACGCGGCCCTTCGCAACCTCCGCGATCGCCTCGAGGTTCCAGAGCCCCCGCCATCAGACTCCCAGATGCAAGAGGACTACTACCGCGCCGTCCGTACTTACATGGTATCCATCTGGATGGTCGCAAACGTAATCCTCGGCATGGCTGTGTCCGAAATCTACGGTGTTGACGCCGGTGGTACAAACATCTACCTCGCTATCATCTTGTGGTCTGTCGCTGTACTAGCCGCTATTCGTGCTATTGGTTCTACTACCTATGCTATCTTGAATGTCGTTCAGAAAATAGTTGAAGGAAAGACGAAGTTCGATGCGGGTAATATGACAAACTTTGCCCCCAGCGCTTTCGGTGGTTCGAGTGCAGCTGCTTCCTCTGAGTCTGGGGCGGCCTCCTCCCGTCCAGTGCGCTATGGCGGCGGTGCGTCCTTCAAGGATAAACTTGCTGAGGCTCGCTGGACTGCTGGCAGGACCATTGGAAAAGCTATGTTCTGGCGCAAGTAGATGAACGTTATTTCTTCTTGCTTTTTCTGGTTTGTTTGCGATTCTTTTTTATTTGGGATTGCCCTTCTATCCTGGCTTTCCTGGCTCTCGTGGAGTTCTTCTGATTTGGGCTTCTTTTGAGATATCAGGCGTTGCATTCTTCTTTTTTCTTTTATGATGGAAATATTGTCATGATAGTGCTCTTTTTTCGCTTTTTATGCTCACTGTTCTCTCTTTCCAGATATCTGAACATGTGTATTGATGGATGTATTTATGCGCTCTTGTTTGGGGTTGGAATTAATGCATTGGATGATGATACAAAAAGTGACTTCACTCCAATTTGATATCCCATGATATTTTCAAGGTCCTTTTTATCTTAGGCCTATTCAAGTAGGCATCGGCACTCGCACGCAGCCTTCAATTACACCAGACACCTCTAAATTTGGAAATCTATGCACAAAGTTCGTATAACACATCAATATCCCAATAACAAAATACCACACCGATCCCCGTCATAGCATCCCATCTAATATATTATTTCTTCCTTGTTGTTAATTGAGGGAGTAAGAGAGATGAGGCAGGCAGGTTAGTAGAGGGGGGAAGGAGAAGATAACTTGATTTCTAACAGGTCCGTTATTTCTAAAACCAGTATTTGTTACTGCTGAGGCTCATCGGATATGCAATAATAGCTTTTGACTTCTATTGGCCTCGTAGATTTAAGGCGGTTACTGTGCCCTAAGTCGAACCTGCTAAGCGCTGGGGTTTCACAGGTTTACTTTTGGCGCCTTGCAAATAAAAGTAGGCTTAAAAGGGATATAAGTAAACTATGCATTGAGTGTCTTAGACAGGATATCGAATTTATGGGGATCTAAAAATGCAGCTTCTTTACAGGGAGTCCTGGGTAGTAGTCCATAGTTCTAGGGAACAGGCAGAGAAGACCCAGAGTCAGAGAAGAGGAAGAGAGAAACAGACAGCATTAGCCTGCATAATATTCGAATGTAATGAGCTCTGGTTCGTAATTCGCTGCGAAAAGAAAGGACATCCACGCACGGTGTAGTGCACATGCTCAAACCTGGCGAGAAACCAACGTGAACCATCACCGTCAACAATGTCCCTTTCGAAAATGTCGTGGATGTGGAGCTCATCTCCCAAAGAAAGATTTGCAGTTCTAGTTCATGATGTTGAAATTTGGTTTTTTATAGGGGCACAGCAGGACATGATAGGCAATGCTTCCTTTAATTCTATGCGTATGTGACTTGGAATGTTCTGAGAATTTATAGGGTTTAATCTTTGCACGGAGTAAATGTCTCCAATTAATTCAATCGATAGGCCCAATTCTTTGGAAATGGTTCCGTTGTCCACGATGCTATTCCCAGCAGATCGCTAGTTTTTATTGGTTGTTATCATGTACTGAATAGTTTATAGTATTCAAGGCCTACACCAATCAAGCTGTTCTTGAAATATAATTCTAGTGAATCTACGGTATGATTTGGCCGTTTCTCATCATACTACAAAGTACCGGTTGATAGGTTCTAGCCGAGGTAAACTATCGCACCTTTCTGCTACTACCTAGACCGATTTCACCCCAATGGCGCCTCTTAATCTTGACAAACGTGATATTTTCGTAATGATCTCAGTTATCCACCTAAAACGCAAATCTGATCTTGGATTGACTGCAATAGTGATGCTTCAAATTACGTGATAGGTTTACCGCGAAGACACTCACCCCGCATCGCCGGTAAACACGGCAGTGTCGCATACGATACAGGGCTCCAGGACATATTGACTGACTAATAACTTTGAGGGGTTTCAGTTTTTAGTCGATTCCTTCGAGTCCTGGCTACAGTCTTGATAATATTTCCTGAACTTATTCGAGGTTGTTAAACATGTTCTCGGAAAAAGGCAAAACGGCACCTGTTGATTCTGAGGCCACAGATCTAGCACATATCACGGAAGATGGAGAGTCGTCCGAAATACCCTCTACCTCTGCTGTAAAAAGTAAAGTGCACGGCTGTCTCCAAGTTATTGGTGCTTTCTTTATATTTTTCAATGTCTGGTATGTCGACTACCTTTCGAGTTACAATTGAACAACAAAGCTAACGTCCTTCCAGGGGTCTAAACCTCGCATTTGGGACATTCCAAAGCTACTATGCACTCATTTATATCCCATCATCAACATCATCCGACATCGCCTGGATTGGAACAATCCAGTCCTGGCTCCTAATCGTCGGCGGGCTACTATCCGGCCCACTCTTCGACCTCGGCTACAACCAGACCATGATCCTCGTCGGAAGCATCCTAGGTGTAATTGGTATGATGATGCTCAGCCTTGCACATGCGTACTATGCCATATTCCTCAGCCAGGGAGTCTGCGTGGGCCTCGGATTCGGACTGCTTTATGTCCCCGCTATTGCACTGGTAAGCCGTTCTTTCACAACAAGAAGGGCTGTTGCGCTAGGTGTATCGAGTAGCGGTGCCCCTGTTGGGGGCATCATCTACACTATCATGTTCAACCAGCTTATACCCAAGGTGGGGTTCCCCTGGACTGTTCGTCTTATAGCGTTCCTGATGCTGGCGCTGTTTATCGCCGCTGCTATTTTGCTTTTATGGCCTGAGAGACGTTCAGCGAAGGTTAAAACCACCCAGCGCAGGAGCTTGATTGATTTACGCGCTTTCAAGGATTTGCCTTTTTGGAGCTTTGCTATTGGGAATTTCTTCCTATACCTTGGTTATATCACTCCTTTCTATTATATCCCAACCTACGCGGAGACGAAACTGTGCACATCGCGCTCAATGGCCTCTAATGTCCTGATGATTTCCCAGGCTTCTTCGGTTATTGGTCGTGTTGTCTTGACTTTATTCGCCCATTACTATGGGTCGATGATTTCTTGGATCATTTGCGGTGTACTCTCAGGTGTTCTGTGTATTTGTTGGATTAGTGCAGACAGTCTGGTACGGTTTATTCTTTTTGCGGCCTTCTATGGTAAGTGAGGTTCCTCTATCTAAGTCATCGGTGCGTCCGTTTTGACCCAAATCACAGGGGGTATCTCCGGGGCTTTGATCCCTCTCCCGCCGAGCGTCTTCACCCACGTCTGTCCCGACCCCAAGAGTCTCGGAACTTGGCTTGGAATGGCGCAGAGCTTGAGTAGCTTTGCGACTCTTGTGGGGCCACCAATAGCAGGTGCGCTCGCTACAATTGGCTCCGATGGTAGTGCGGATTTGAACTACCTAGGTATTCAATTGTTTAGTGGGATAGTCATGTGCTTTGGCGCATTTCAGCTGATCCTTTTGTGGCATTTGCTATACACAAAGAGGGGCAAAACTGGTTTATTTTGATGCTAAGGAAAAATAACTGTATATAGTCCACAGAAATGTAATTAATTGGTTACTAATCTCCCAAGCCTTCCAAGGCTGTCCACCTATGACTCAATATGTACTTTCTTTTACTCTCAAATAATCTCTATTATCTTTTGAATTGAATCATATAAATTGAATCGTATAGTTCGGACAACCAACCTATCGCGTTCTCCCGAAATCCTGATATCACGGGATCTCGGGATCCACAACCAATCACACTGGCGTGAGTCACACATAGTTGGGTTGATAGCACTCAGGGAACAAAATCAAGATACACCATATATACCTCGCCTCGCTCTCGATTCTTACCAAGTAACTCAACAATAAATTTCCAAACATGACATCACTACGCCCAAAAGGCGCACTAGTCCCCTTCACTCCAGCTCTACTACCAACGAGCCAAACAATCTCAGGGCGAACAATTCTCCTCGAGAAACTCTCCCCAAAACACGCCGACGACCTCTTCACCTTTACCGGCGGGCTTGAACCATCCAAAGAAGCCCTCTGGGACTACTTACCCGAGGGGCCGTACCTAGATGCCGAAACCTTCAAAGCCAGCATTGCATCGAAATCCACTTCAACAGATCCATTCTTCTACGCAGTCATCGACAAGCGTAACTGTCTTCCAAGTTTCGGGAAAGCAATTGGATATCTCTCTCTGATGCGCGTTACTCCCGATCACTTGGGCATCGAAATCGGGAATGTGCTGTACTCGGCTGCGCTCCAGCGCACGACTGGCGCGACAGAGGCGATCTATCTCCTAGCTCAGTATGCTTTCCATGACCTTGGGTATAGGAGGTTGGAGTGGAAATGCAATTCTCTAAATGAGCCTTCACGCCGTGCGGCTTTGCGCTTAGGATTTTCGTTTGAAGGCGTCTTTCGACAGCATATGATTGTTAAGGGGAGGAATAGGGATACGGCTTGGTTTTCTATTTTGAGGGACGAGTGGGATGCTTCGCTGAAGGCTGCCATGGAAAAATGGCTGGATGCTGGGAATTTTGGGGAGGATGGTGGCCAGATTAAGTCACTACAGGACTTGAGAGCTGAGTTGTGTTGAAATGTTGGGATTGCAAAATGATTGTCCGTATTTGGATGGTTGCAGTAACCCCACTTACCTATGGGAAGCATATGTTGTATAGAAAAAGAAAAGTAGATGAACTATGTTGTACTGTGTCTACTAATTTCAGCGTTTTGATCTTCACCTTTATCCTTTATAGGAGATCGACAACGGCGCTATTGAAGATCACCAACAGGGGCAACTCCACGACTCCACCAGCCCCACCGTTCAGTAGAGCTTCGGGGAGTCGAAGTAAGTTAGAAGAACTCGAGCATAGCGGCATTCAATGAGGAGTATGTAAAATAACTATGCGATTGATCGACGAGGCCTACGGAGTACATAAAAGAGAAATCCAAGATCCGAGATCGACTTGACCGATGTTCTCCGAGATCTCGCAAGAGATCTTATCGAAGTTCCCCATCGGGACCTCTATGATTGGAACATCTTCACATTCCTAAAGTTCAACGAATAGACGCAGTCCGGTTCATCAATCCAGATCCTTGAGCGGGTCTCATTTTCGGAAAGACAACGCACTCTCTCGTTCCTGTACTTCTGTTCAGCTCTGCAAATGACAAATGACGAAATCATATCTGTTCGCATAGACAAGGCAACCTATAAATACCCCTATCGCCCCTAGCACATCAATTAAATCCCCCATTGTCACCTCCGACCATTCGACCATTTCCCAAATATCCACGTCAACGATGCCGTCCGAAACTGCACCCGCCAGAGAATATGGCTTCAACCCCAACCAAGGAGTGAACTGGTCCGACTACCTCACCTTCCGCCCAATCTACCCACCCTCCTTCTTCGAAAAAGCCTTCACCTACCACTCCTCAAAGCCCCACTCCACCTGGTCCGTCGCCCAAGATATCGGTGCCGGCTGCGGAATTGTCTCATCAAGTCTAGCTCCCCGCTTCAACGAAGTGATCGTCTCAGACCCGAATGACGGGTACACCACACTCGCTCGCAGAGTCCTAGTCGAGGAATCCCGTCTGCCTGAATCCAGGTTCCGGTTTCTGCAGGAAAGTGCCGAAAGGAGCTCCGTGCAGTCGGGCTCAGTCGATTTTGTCATGGCGTGCGAGTGTATCCACTGGACGAGGCCGAATATTGCTATTGCGGAGTTTGCGCGTGAGTTACGCGCAGGTGGAACGCTTGTTATTACACATTATAATTATCCGCGCATTGTTGGGAATGAGAGGGCTCAGAGGGCTTGGGAGGCTGTTTGTTCATTTTATGCGGGTGAGGTTCATGATCCGATGCTTGATCATGCGTTGAGGATTTTGAATTCTGGGACTGAGGCTCTAGGGTTCCCGGTGGAGGACTGGGAGGGTGTGAAGAGGTTGTATATTAATGCTCAGGGGAGTATCGAGGCTTTTAGGATTAATGATCGAATTGGGGAGAGTCAGGTTAGGGATGGGGAGGAGATTGTTTGGGAGGAAGATGATGCGGATTGGATGGATGAGCAGGACTGTGACTGGTTTAGGGGTTATTCCTCTACCTGGACCACTCCGAGTGTATCAGAGTCGGAAATTGATCCGCTTTGGGATGAGATGGAGAGGGCCTTTGAGGGGAAGAAAGTGAAGACTGCTACACCGCTTGCTATGGTCTTTGCTACGAAGAGACATAACTGAAGTGTGAATGTGTGTTAAAATAAAATTAACCGAAGGAATTTATATCCATTCCAATGCCCCTCAAATGTTGGAGTGCTCTTTGTCTCTAACAATCTCCTCAACAACCTTGGCCGCCGCTAGGGTCTCTTCATCCTTAAACCGCCTCCCAGAAATCTGCAGTCCCACAGACGCGCCCTCGTATCTCTCGGGGTCCTGGTACTTACGCCACTCCCTCTCATCAACCTCATCCCTGGGAACATACTTCCTGTCCTCCTCCGTCAACACATCTACCTTGGGGTCCACAGTGATTCCAGATGGGAACACTGCAGAAGGCAGGTCTACCAAGTTCCAAATCGCACTATAATTCCAATACTGCGACTCGCCCATCACTGCCGCGGCAGCGGGATATGTCGGAGAGAGGATAAAGTCAACACCGCGACTCTTGATCAGAGCGTGGTACTCGTCTCTATAGATATCGCGCTGGTCGTGCAAGGCCCATGCCTCCGGGTGAGAAAGAGGCATGCTTTGGGCATAGGAGAGAGCCCAATCGGTTAGTGGGCGTATTGGCTCGCCCGATTCGGCAAGAACCTCACGTTGCTTGCTGCCAGCGTCAGGGTAGTACAGAGCGCGCTGAGCCATGTTAGCGTTATAGCGTGCATGCCCAGAGGATATTCGGCACTTACAATAACTTCCCAGCCATGCTGGTGCTTATACGGCTTCCAGTCTACGACTTTCACGCCTGCCGCTACCAGCTTCTCCTTGGCGTGTCTCAGAGCGCGAGTGATAGGTGGATGGGGGCGGACGCAGCTGGGAAATGGATTAGCACACTGACGGCAGACACATATTTGGATTACAACATACCCATCATCCCACATAATAGCCACAGTCATATCCCGCTTCGGAGCAACCGTCTTCCACGGCACAGGCATCAGTGACGTCTCAATGTCCCAAGGCTCTTGTTCTAGTACAGCTCTCTGGAACAGCTCTAGATCCTCAATAGAGCAACTAGCCATTGGACCCACTACACCGCGGATTGTCTCCTGGCCCGAAGCAGCGACTTTAAGCCCTGTCACAGGGTTCCGCAGAGAGGAAGGGCGGAAACCGTACGCACCGCAAAACGCCGCGGGGCAGCGAATTGATCCACCGATATCACTTCCAATCCCTAGCGGTGCGCAACGGAAGCCCATTGAGGCGCCTTCGCCGCCGGAAGACCCGCCTGGACTTAGGGTGCGATTGAGGGGGTTCAATGTTGTGCCGGTGATATTGTTGCTGCAGCACAGGTGCTAGATCGTGTTAGTTATGAGATATACCGCTAATTTGAAATGTGTCCGCATACCATCAACGACTGGGGTTGGTTGGTCCGCACATGAAAAATGGCGCCGGCTTTGGATAGGAGCTGGAGGAGAAGGGCATCTTCCGTGGTGACTTTGTCAACCCTGTTTTGGTTGTCAGTAATGTGAGTTGTCATGGTGGATCCCTACTCACCAAGCTACATATCCCGTATTGCATGTTCGGTTCTTCATAGATATGTGTTCTTTCACGCTGATTGGTATGCCATGCTGTTTCGTTAGAATCTTGCCTATAAATTTCAACGGGTATGTATATGAGCTTACCAGGGGCCCGACCAGTTTCCCTGTGCGTCTATAGTGCTCATCATGCTCTTTGGCACGGGTGATTGCCTCGTCTGCCATAAACTCCGTTGCGAAATTGAGCTACAAGCACGTCAACGCTGGAGTTGCAAAGTCGGGGCTCCTAATCTCACCAGTTGATGGCCCAACACGGCCCTCTTCAAATACGCAACCATCACCTCTTCCGCGCTCAGTTTTCCATTGCCCATCTCGGTCACCAGTGCCGTAGCCGACATATCCGTGATAATGAGCTCACGCTCATTCAACAACCCGCTTTGACTGGGGAAGTCAACCACGCTTTTCTGCGAGACAGGCGGTAGCCTGTCGATGGGGAGAAGCCATTTTTTCGGAATAGAATTGTTCAAGATGTCTCTGCCCTTTTGGGCTTGGCTCTCCCAGTTACTAGTCATATTGAAGAGTGAGATTGAAATGAAATATGGGCGGGGTGATCTGGTGGTTTCGGAGGGTAAACTGGGATATATCAAGAGGAAAGAGAGACACAAGGCAGTTCTCCGTCCTACACATTTCCCCGCACACAATCTGTCTGATCTACATGACTATCTCGGAATCGGAACTTGCTTTCCATTCAGGCGAGCGGGGAAAACTATGTAGCTCTTATTGGTTAAGGAATGGATCGCGGAGTAATTCCGTTCAGACTAGCTCAATATTGATAGGTTGTACAAACGCACACCTTTATATATCTCTAATGTTGGCTCGACAAAAAGGATTCCTAAGCTGCTCACTAAGCAACCTGATTGTCTCAAGGCCCACCGCTGGTACCATTACTACAACATCCCTCTCCTGATCTCCGTATTGATCATTGCATGTTAATACGATATCTACGCGTCATATTCACATTATCTACTAGAGTAACATGTCCACGGTTCCAACAAGGGTTGAGGTTGGATCATTTGTAAAGGTATCACTTTCCAAGCCCACCAGGCTATTGTTTGTACCCAGTCGAGCTACTTCAATACCGCAATTTGTGGCGGTTCCAGGGCATAATTGAGAGGGACGACGTTCGGCTGATGTATTTCGGTTGTTTATTCTGTCAGGAAACCAGTGCGAAAGCCATCAATATCCAGGAAGATGACCAGAGACCATTTAACGTGTTCTGTCCTTCCTTTACCTTCAGGACTATACGAGGATGGACACAGTTCAATACCAACCAGTTTCAGAGCTCGCCCCGCTTCATCCAGATAATAAACCGAACGAGCCAGAAGAACATTGCTCTCAACAACATGGAGCTAGATATTAATTCAATAATCAGTAATAACATAAAAATACAAAAAAGAAATCTCTCCCTCGGGGAATACCCCGGTCTCCCGCTCTTATCGGTGTTAATGGCAAGCGGACATCATCACAACCAGACCAAGGAAGACGCGATGATTGAGTTACTGCTCGGCCACTTGGCTGATATATGTGAAAAGTTGGCCATCCTGACATCATGAGAAGTGGGAATGAGATGATAGTACTCTCAGTCTATCCACAGCAGGTCAACTGCTCGCATACCGTCCCGCAGATAACCTGGCACCGGGAAGTTTCATGGAAACACTCATCGACTTCCAGCAGTTCTGGCTGAAGTGTAATCGAGTGTATTCCATAGGCGTGGAAACACTGGTTGATCACCCGGGCTGTCTTCATAAAGTTCTCGACAGAGTCGTCGGACACGACAATGTGCACTGAGGCGAGGGTCTTTTGTTGGTTGAGGCGCCAGATGTGGAGTTCGTGGATTGAGTTGACGCCCTTGATCTTTTTATTGTTAGGAACGAAAGAAATAGAAGGAGATGGAGTTGGGATTACCTTTTCTAGGTCGTGTTTGACATCGCACATATCGACCCCTGTAGGCACGCTTTCTAGCAGGATCATCCCGGCTCGGCGCACTGGAGGAGTGTCAGCTTTGATATTTCCTTTGAGCCATTTCTTCTGGAATCACACTTACTCAGAGGGAAAGACGATAGAATAATGAGAATGGCAATGAACATGCTCACACCGGGATCGGCATAGTATCGGCTAGCATGGGGTGCTGCGAGCCAGATAATCAGACCAGCCGCCATGACGCCCAGGTTATTGATTGCATCGCCGATAACGTGGAGCATCACTCCCATTATACCCAGATCACCGTGGTCGTGGCCGCCATGACCATGGCTGTGGCCGCCTGAGTCTGCACAGTGATGTTTTTCGAAATGAAGATGTTTGTGATCGTCATGCTAAGCTGTGTCAGTCTGTGTCCATTGATTGGATTTCTGAACTTTTTGTAGCCTACCTTGGTACTGGAATTATGGCATTCCTCGAGAACGGGTGTCTCGATTGTGGGTGATAGGCTAGGGCCATGACTGTGTCCATGTCCATGTCCATGTTCTGGTACTGTCAGCGTGATATACAACAATGATTCCACAAACCCTACCGTGAAGGAAAACTGCGCTAATGATGTTCAGGCCCAATCCGACACACCCAATGATGAACATCATCTTAGGGTTGTGAACATCTAGATGTACCGTCAGTTATCATCAAACCAGATCAACATCCAGTCCGGGCGATAGCACTCACGTTGCAGGGCAATAAATCGTTCAATGGACTGCAAAAATATGCTAATACCCAACCCCAATAGAAGAACGCCATTGAAAAAGGCACCAAGCAACTGAGCCCGCTGCCAACCAAAACTAAGCTCCTTGGGCGAGTCACTGCGCTCGGATTTCTATATTTCACATCAGCACAACTACCACACAACCAAACGGGCAAACCACACTGTACCTTCAATGCAACAAGAGCAATAATAAACCCAACTAAATCATTCAGCTGCAATGCATATTAGCCAACAAGATCTCTGAGTCCATATCCGAAAACGCCTACATAGTGGAAAGCATCCGCAATCAGAGCAATAGAGTGGGTATAGAAGCCCACTAGCCCGGTGTCAGCACATCGACGTTCATACCAAGAACCACTACTACAAAACCAAGAAGGAGGGCAACCGACGCGAAATCTCAGCCAGAAAGAAACATGTCGATATGCCAATCACAACGCCCAACCGTGTCGAGCGTGATAGATGAAGCCCCATGACTGCGGAGATCCAATATCAGAAAGAAATGAAACGGAACGGAACAAAAGTCCAGGAACGTAGCTTGCCGTTTACGAAAGGGACATTTTTCCGCTGCGAAATCGTGAATACTTCTGCCTTCCAGAGTCTTGGTTCAGAAAGCAATGGGCTGGTCCAACATTCCCGTCGTGTAACTCTTCGTCTTGAAATGTGGCCTATCAGGTAGCTTCGACCGTGAGATATAGGGATGTGGTATGCTGGACATTGAGGATTATGCAGAGTCCTGGCAATTTATTGGGCTTGAATGGTTAGGTGTCTCTGTAATGGTGGTGTATCATTGCTAATGGCGGTTAGGGTATGTTATATGGGAAGGGTTAGGTACAAATACTAAGCGCTGGGGCTCCATAGGCCCAAAAAAATCTGCCAGGGGACCTTGACAGCCTGAAATCTTCCAGGAACATACTTCTCCCAGCCCTACAGGAGCTTGTGGATTTGGTTTGTGTGTTTTGCAGATCAGCCGATGAAGAATGCAGGCTTGCCACCTACGCAGTGTATCGCAGCATCTGAATGTGAGATCCACCTATACAACCTTGAATTCGCGATGAGGCTTTTACAAATAGGGATAGAATCTCAAAAATACGGAGTGATTCAGCTTCCATTAAACAAAAGAAGAATCTCATACAATTTTCATTATCACATATCCAATTCGCTTTACACAAAACACCAACTCAAGCAGCAATCTGACCAGAAAGTCCATCCAACTCACGCGCCCAGTTGCGGTGTCGAGAAATATGCCAGATAAACTGCTCAGCCAGACCCTTCGCATCAGGCCCAACCGTGCCAACCTTCAGCAACGAAACCGCATCTCCATGGCCCGTAACAACACCATACGACTCCTTTAGCGGAGAACCACTCTGCGCAACCTCGACCTCAGGAAGCCCGATCTGCTTCTCAATAAACGGCACAGCCTCATTAGCACCGGCAATGGCCTTAAGATGAGCGAAGGACTCGGAGATCCAGTGCTTAAAAACGCCATTCTTCAAAAACGCTTGGATATGCTTTCCGCCAGGCACGTAGACCGCATCGAACAGCGTCGACCGCGCCCCGGAATAGAAGTGATCGGGAATAACCTTCTGCCCAGACTCGGCAGTCACACCCTGGCGCTGCGCACCGATCGTGAAAACAAACGCGCCGCGTTCGCTAAGTGCTTGTTTCATCGTGGTATACTGGTTGAAGTCGAATTCATCGGCGAGCAGGATGGCGACACGGCGTGTCGCGATGATGGGTTTCTCTGGCATGAATTCAAGCTGGCTCAGACCCTTGGCTCTATTGCCCTTGTTTTCCTTTGGGGATTCCATGGGTGTGTCGCCGCCGACGTTCTTCGCAACGGTCTTGGCTAGGTCTAGATCGACGGCTGACAGACGCTCAGTCATGCGCTTATAGACGACAGGGTCGTCGCAGTGGTCCAGCTCGAAGGAGAATGCCTTCGCTATGTGCAACTTTTCAATCGGTGACATCGAGTTGTAGAATACCTGCGCCTGGTTGAAGTGCTCTTTGAACTTATCTGGCAGAGCGCGCTTCTTTGGGCCCTGCTGCTTCTGCGGGTAGGTGACGAAGCCGCCCTGCTCTGCTGTCGCGGGCGGGTTGGCGTCGAATCGGTTCGGCCAGTAGTTCACCTTGCCCTTTGTGATGCGGTGTCTGCCCTGTCCGTCGCGGTTGACTAGGCTCATGTATGGACATACTGGCCGGTTGATGGGCAGTTCCTCCCAGTTCGGTCCGAGTCGCGATATTTGCGTGTCGAAGTATGAGAAGTTGCGCCCTTGAAGTAGAGGGTCATCAGTGAAGTCGATGCCGGGCACAATATGGCTCGTGCAGAATGCAACCTGCTCGGTCTGAGGGAAGAACTCATCGACGTTGCGGTTGAGTTCTATCTCGCCGATGTAACGTATAGGCACTAGCTCTTCGGGCCAGACCTTCGTGGCGTCGAGGGGATCGAACTCGAAGCTGTCTGCCTTTTCTTCTGGCATAAGCTGTATGCCGAACTTATAGCGTGGGAAGTGTCCTGCCTCGATTGCCTCCATTAGGTCTTTCCTGTGGAAGTCGGGATCCTGGCCCGCGATCTTCAGTACCTCATCCCAGACAAGCGAGTGCACGCCCAGCTCTGGGGTGTAGTGGAACTTGACGAAATGACGCTTGCCGGCCTTGTTAATCAAGGCATAGGTATTCACGCCGAATCCCTGCATCATCCGGAACGACCGCGGAATAGCTCTATCAGACATAATCTGGCACGAACCTCGTCAGCAACCACAACCCAAACAAGAACAAGAAATACTAACCCACTGATTCATATGCGTAACCTCCGAATGCATATACTGAAAATCCCAAAAGTTATTATGCGCAGTCTGAGCCTGCGGCACCTCGTTTTGCGGCTCGGGCTTAACAGAATGAATAACATCAGGGAACTTAATAGCGTCCTGAATGAAGAAGACAGGAATATTATTCCCAACAATATCCCAGTTTCCCTCCGCGGTATACATCTTGATGGCGAACCCGCGCACATCGCGCACCGTATCCGCGCTGCCCTTGCTACCCTGCACAGTCGAGAACCGCACGAACAGCGGCGTCTCCCGGCTGGTATCAGTCAGGATCCCGGCGGTTGTTACGTCTGCAGCGCTCTCGTATAGTTTGAATTTGCCGAAGGCGCCTGTTCCGCGCGCATGAACAACTCGCTCTGGGATGCGTTCGTGATCGAAGCGCATTATCTATTGTTGATTAGTTGTTTGTTCGGATATAGATTGCTGTATGTATGGACGGATGGATGCGGGCGTGCATGTACCTTCTCACGGGCGACTTGGTCTTCTATGAGTGTGGGCCCTGTCTTCTTTTCGTCCACGACGCGGAGCCATTGGTCTGGGTTGGAGATTCTGACGCCATGGTCGGTTGTCATGTGCTGCTTGTCGTGTATGTCGACAGTGTCCGTTTGTAGATCGGCATATTTGCCGTCTGCGTTCTTTGGGTTTGCTGCCATAGTATGTGTGGTTGATACCAAAGCGGAAAAGAGCAGACGAAAACTATGTTAGGCTCGGGTTTCCCACTTTATATATAAAAGCCAAGCTGATCACAGTGCAATCCCCCAAGTGCGACATCAATGATGTAATCCTCCCAGTTGCATCTACCAACGAAATGAAATTGTACCACTATAAAGCGGAGACCCAAGTCGTCGAGTCTAGCCTGGAATATACTGCTTTGCAAGAATGACCATAGTATGACCTACCACCCGTACCCTAACACCCGGGCACTTTACCAACCAATGCCGACAGGGAAACCTGTAATGGAGTAGAACAGACAAGATGCATTGCGAATTGCTCCCTTTTCATTGGCGGGGCAGTTTCCTGCAACCACGGAGGTGGAGCTATATAGCTTGTTAACCTTTGCCTGTGTTGTCTGGGCGGTCGATCATGGGGAGGTCCACTGGCAATACAAGGCATAAGCACTTGAGATGGTGGGTCATGTCAATTGCAGCTGGCCGATGACGTGAACTTATGCTTGGATTCGGCTTTCTTATCTATTGGACGTCTTGGATTATCCAGGAGCACTTGATGGAGTGTGACGTCACCTGATATCAGGGTGGAAATCATGTCCGAGTATTTCCAAGGATATCATGGGGAACTGGCTTGGAGAATTAAAATAAACTAGATCTACGTATCAACTTGGATATCTGTTGTATGTTAAACTCCAGGGGAAAGAATAAATTCAATCCATAGGGACAATGTTTCTTCGAGATATGCTATATACACCAAACTTGATCTATGTGCACAGGTATCTCTCTATAGCACAATGTAGCCTCTGAACCAAAAAAGAAAGGAAAGAGGACAAAGGACAAGCATAATCTACATATTATCCTCACTCCAATGACTCCTCGTCTTCAGCCAAGCGTCGCGTTCCTCCTTATTCTGCGCAGGAGTGTTTCCAAGCCCCAACCCGCGCTCCACCCACTCCTTACTTCCCATCTCGGAAAGACGGGAAAGAGCACGCGCAAACGCAAACCGCTCCTCATCACCACTGAAAATAGACGTGTTCTTTAGCGCCTGCACGGACATGCCGAGGTCGTCCATCAGGTTGCGCATTGCGTCGGAGAGATCCGAGTGGTCGCCACCGTCACCTTCGAGGGTTTTCTTTACGTCGGTTTCGGAGATGAAGAGGTTTGTTAGCGGGACTTCGGTTGTGAGAACTAGTTTGGCCTGTTGATGTGGGTTGTTAGTTGGCTGCGTGATTAAAAGAAAATGTGAACAGGAACGTTGCTCGTGACTCACCCTGCTCTCATACACCGCATCGATAAAGGTAATAAAGCGCCTCGCCAGATCACGTTGGGTATGGTTCATGCTCGGCACCTCCGTGACAATGAACGCATCGTAATGCCGGACGAGCTCGAGG